TGTGTGTGTGTGTGTGTGTGTGTGTGTGTGTGTGTGTGTGTGTGTGTGCATTCTATCAAAATACCTCTTTCCAAGCTTCCTTTGATGTTTTTAAAGGCTATGAGCAAAATGGAAACTATAAATGTCCAAATTAACATCATGATTTGAAATGATTTCCATTCCAAACTGTCAAGCCAGCCCACGAAGCTCCGAGAGCTCCCATGTACTAATCCAGCTGTTGATATGATTTGTTGAGTACAGAAATAAGAGTTTCAAGGTCTGTATGAACCTCTCCACCCACCTCACTGGCTATCTTGGCAGCTTTTTTGGCACGCTGTATTTCAAGGGTATCGGTGTCAATTTGCATTCCCTTCCCTTTAATTTCTGACTCCAGGTCCTTCTTGTATTCTTTCTATAAAAACAACATTCAACACAATTTAGTCAACATGTAAGTACAGTCAATGACACCAAAAGCAACAACAAAACAAAATGAAACAAAACCAACAAAAAAACCTAAACATTTTTAAATGACCAAGAGATGGCTTAGTGGATAAAGCACTTGCAATATAAGCATTAGGATTAGAGTTTAGATACTCCAGAAGCCACCAAGACTAGACTAAACAAATCAGTAAGCTCTGGGATCAGCAGAGACCCTCAGTTAATAAAGTAGAGAGCAATCAAAAAGAATGCTCAACATCAGCCTCCAGCCACATACCACACACAAGCACACTCACACATATGTAAACACACATACATGAATGCACATACAAAAGCACTTACTAAGAAAGAAAATAGGTAAATGAGCAATGTCCAAGAGAATACAAGGCTTATTACCATGAATTACCACCAAGATTTAAGTAGGGAGAATACATAATTAGAACTACTATTCCCACTGGAGATGTTTTATACTGTTAAAAAGGTAATTGTTGAGTGAGAATCTTCATGGAGTGCTGCCTCGGAGACTGGGAGACAGGCAAAAGGACACGGAGGGGTTCATGTTATCCTAAGAAGACGGATAATGAGGCCAGAGCACTCAACAACCAAGCTATGTGACACTACAGATGATTGCTACCATTCCTTCGTATCTTTGAAACAGGGCTAATCATTGCTCTACGTGAGACCACAGTGGAGAAAATGAGGCAGCGACACAAAGCCCGGCATTGGTGGGGCTTAGCGACAGAGGGATAGCTTTTTCTGCCCCTCACCTCACCCCCAAGGCCTGCTTTGTTGCTATTTCTACTGCCATCTTATCACTCAGCTGTTTTTTTTTTTTTAATCACTCAGTTTTTCAACTGGACCTGCCATAGTAATAAAACAAACTTTTTAGATATAATGGACAAGAAATAATGAGATTGATCCCTCAATGAAGACTGGCTACACTGTCACAACCAAAGAAGATTACTCTGGCTGCTAGCATCCTTCCCTGTTTCTCTATGAATTTCAGATTGTTTTTTCTATTTCTGTGAAGAATGCAGACAGGGATATGTTGACCTCTTTACCTATGTGTATCCCTTTATTTCCTCTCTCATCTGACTGCTCTAGCTAAATTCCAAGCACTGTATTGAACGCTAGCTCTGCCTTGTTCCTGATTTTAGAATTGCTTTGAGGTTTTCTCTATTTAGCAGAAATTCTAACCATTTGACATATATAACAGCCTTTATAACACTGAGGTACTTTTTCTCCAGTCTTATTGTCTCTGGCACTTTTATTATGAAGGCTGTTTGATTTTGTTGAAAGAATTTTCTCTATTAAGATGATCATGTGTGTTCTCTTTAAGTTCATTTACACATTTTATTACAATTATCAATTTGCATATGCAAAACCATCCTTGACTCTTTGAGTAAAGCCAACTTGGACATGGGGAATGATATTTTTCATGTGTGCTCATGTTCAGTTTCTTGTGATGTCTCCCTATCTCCAATCTTATTAATTTGGATTTTCTCTTTTAGGTAATTTGATCCAGGTTTGTCAATCTTGTTTGTCTTTTCAAAGAACCAACTCTTCATGTCATTGGTTCTTTGTATTGGCTTGTTTGCATATTTGTCTCTAATTCTTCAATTTCTACCCTGGTTTCAATTATTTTTCCCATCTACTGCTTTGTTTGATTTGTTCTTATTTTCCCAAACCTTTTGAGTACATTATTAAATTATCTATTTGAAGTCATCTCATTTTTAATATAAGCACTCAGAGCAATACATTTCCTTCTCAGGACTTTTTGGGTTTTTTTTTTTGTTGTTGTTGTTTGTTTGTTTTTTCATTTTATCCCAGAGAATTTAGTAAGTTACACTTTCATTTTTATTTAATTCTAAGATCTTCTCTATTTCCTCCTTAATTTCCTCAATAGTTAGAATACTTGACAGCTGAATAGTTTAATTTTCATGAATTTTTCTATCTTCTGGTGTTCCTTTTGTTATTTATTTATTTTTTTTTATATTTTTGGTACTTATTGATTAAGCTTTATGTGATTGTGGTCAGATAGAATACACGGAGTTAATTCACTTTTCCTAGATTTGTTGAGATTTGCTTTGTGTATCAATAGATTATCTGTTTTACAGAAACTTCTGTGGCATACTGAGGGGGAAAATGTCTATTAAGTAGTGTCCGGGTAGACTGTTCTGTAAGTATGTATCAGATCTATTTGGCCTATGATGCCATTTAGTGTCAGTGTTTCTCTGATTATATTCTGTCCATTGGTGAGGGTAGATATTGAAGTCCCCTCCTATATTGGGGTTAACCTGTGGCTTAATGTCTAGCAGCGTTTGCTTTGTGAGGTTGGGTACAGATGACTTTGGTGGACTTATGCTTAGAATCAGTCCTCTTGGTGGATTGAAATAAAGCAGGCTTCTTTGTCTCTACTCGAAGTCTTCTTGCATTCGTTTAGAACAGCTTGTTTGCTGGCCCCATTTCCTTAGAATATTCGTCTCCATCTTTCATTCTAAGCCAAGAAAGTGAGGCTTCTTTCTTGTAGAAAACAAAAAGGGTAGACACTATTTCCTAATTCTGTGGCTTAGTCTGTGTCTTTTGACTGGAGAATTGAATCAGAATGGACAGGCCTGAGACAGGAGAGGCTGAGTTTCTTATCAGGTGTTGGAGGCCATATCGATTGGGCACCTGTAGCAAGGTTCTTAGGTCAGAGAGGGTGGGGCCAAAGCAGAGGATGCCAGTTCTCTAAGCAGGTGCCAGAGGCCAGGTGTGTGCTGGGTGGCTGAGGGGAGGTGCCAGGTGCATGTCAAAGCCACTGTGTGGCACCAAAGTAATGACGGTATCAGGAACGGGGGACTGAAACTGGACATTTAATTTCTTCTCATAAAGTTCTTATGAAATGAGAAGCAACTACTTTAACTGCATCCAGAGTTTTAACTTATCAGTAACCAGATAAAGATGATAAATGTGTGTTCCTTAAAGAGCAAGACAACACAGGCTGCTCAATGGCAGCCAGGACCCACGGTGACTCCACCTACCTCATTGATTTCCCTTTCTTTGCTTTTAAATAACCAGGTCAAATCTTACAGGAATATTTTGTCAATGACACAGATTTCTCTAAAATGACCATTTTCCCCAAAGCATTGTGAGAACAAAATTATCATTAATTTGCTCCCTGAGAAAAGCCTAACACATAGCTGTTTATCAGCATCTATACACATGAGTTGTATAAGTTGGTCACAAAAGAAGGTAAAAATGTTCTCATTCTAAGCTCCTAAATGAATCCACTCACCTCGCTGGCCATTTCAGATGCTCGCTTTGCTCTCTGAATATCAAGAACTTCAGAACTAAGTTCCATTCCTTTCCCTTTTATTTCATTTTCCAGATCTTTTTTATATTCTTTCTATAAGACAAGAATAGAATATTTCATTTGAAGCTATCTCAGTAATTACTTTAACTCATATGGCAGTTTGCATGTCTTCTAGAGACCACAGACAGGAGAAAATATTGCTAGAAAGGAAAAAATTAGATGCTGAACATTCTCGCCTATTTCTCTTTGACATTTCATTTTCTCCTCCATCAAACTCAAAGTGGCACCCACTATTATCAGTGCTTCATCCTTTCTCCCAGCGCCTTTTGGCATCACACTGAACTTCTTTAAAAAGATATCTTCCCCTTAAGAGCTGGAGTAGAGGCCATGGAGGCATCCTCTAACTAGACTAGTCTCCTAGCAGAGGGAGGGGAACTTTGACCCCAAATTTACCCTGCCTACAAGACGTGCAGGGATGAAGACAGAGAAGAGACCAATGCCTGGCCCAACCAAAGACCCACCCTACCTGAGAGTGTCAACACTAGACACCATGAAGGATACTCTGCTAAGCTTATAGACAGGAGCCTGTCAGAGTTGTCCTCTGAGAGGCTCTATCCAGCAGTGCCTCAAAACAGATGCTGAGACTCACAGCCAAACATTGGGCGATGCTTAGGGAGTCTTGTGGAAAAGTGGGAGGAAAGAGAAAGGGACCTGGAGGTGACAGGAGCTCCACAAGAAGATCAACAGAGCCAACTAACCAGGGCCCAGAGGTACTTGCTGAGACTGAAGCATCAACCAAAGACCATGCAGGAACTGGACCTAAACCCCCTACAAGATGTAGCAGATGGTCAGCTTAGGCCTCATGTGGTCCCTTTAGTAAGGAAAGTGGGAAATGCATCAGACATAAACCCACCTGTCAGCTTTTTGATTACTTCCCTCAGGCGGGACTGTCTTACCAGGCCACAGGGGAAGAGGACATGCTCCTTCCTGATGCAATTTGATGAGCTGTGGTGGATGGGAAAGGGATTTCTCAATTTCTGAGGAATAGGCAAGGGAAAGAGGGAAGTGGGTGGGAGGGGAGGGGAGATGAGGCTGTAACCAGGATGCAAAGTGAATTAAAAAATACGTATTAAAAAAGAATATATATGCTTCTTATTATTTGAAGTGATTTAGAAAGTATCTATTTGATGTGAATTTCTAGAAGAACTTACTGGAAAAAAAAATTACAAAGCCAAAGCTTGCTATAGCCAGACGTGTTTTTAAGATTGTATTTTAATCAAAGATCTATTTAAAAAAGAAACAAATAACTTCCTTGAAATTGATAACATAGACTTGAATATCTGCTTTAATATCATTTCTTTAAATTTTTAGATACAGTGTCATATAGCCTAGGCTGGCTAGAAATCACAAATAGACAAATATGGCTTTTAAGGTCTGATTGCTCTCTTCCCCTACTTTCTGAGTGCTGGGATTATAGCTATGTACACCCAATCTCATTTTAACTGGTGTTGTGTGTGTGTGTGGGGGGAACCAGGGCTTTGTGCATGGTAGACAAGCACTCTGCCAACTGAGCTACATACCAACATTTGATACTGTATTTTAAGGAAACATAGGCTCTTGTATATAATGTATTTTCTACTGGTAAATTGTTTATTTCCTTACTTACTTGCATTGTAAAAGCGATACTTTGTTCTATTAAAACAAGTTTCATTTTATGAATATTTTGTTAAATAAAAAATGTCATTCCTTCCAGTGATAAGAAATTAGGTTTCAGTTGATTCTGGAGTTCATGTCATGCCACCGCCATCCCCATCCTGTCCTGAATCATTAAATTAGCCTGAGTTCTGATCAAACAATAGTTTACAAGACATTGTTAAGCCTGCCTGCGATTTCTAAAATTTTATTTATTTATTTACTTTACATCCCAGTGATAGACCCCTCCCTCCTCTCCTCCTTTATTTCTCCTCCCTTATTCTCCAGAATAGGGGAGCCCCCACCCACCGACCCCAGCTCATCTATTCTTATGAGGACTTTTCCTGTGGCCTGGTAAGGTCGTCCCTTCAGGGGGAAGTAATCAGAAAGCATCTGCTTGTGATTTTAGAAGCAACTCTCAGTCAGATGACCTGGAATGAAAGCCCCCACCTTTCTACTAATTTAGTCATGTGACCTTTAAGAGGCCTCTTAGTAACTCAGTCTCCATTTTCATGTTGGCCAAAAGAAAATAAATGTTCTATTCACACCAAAAGGCAATGAAGGAAAACTGGGCCAAATATTGGAGTAGCCAAAGGCCTTATATGAAACATACATCTTAAAATATAAAATGACACTTGGGAGACTCTACATGGCAATATAAGGCCATAAAGTAAATAGCATAGTATTGTGGATATAAACTTTTTTTTGTTTTGGTGCCAGGTGTGGGATGTGGGACTGATTCAGATGGTCCACAGCAGCAGACTATTTGCCTCATGTGGGCTCATGTGGAGCTCTTTGCCAGCTGCAGAGAGTTTAAATCTGAGGACTCTGTTAGAGCCTCCAAGAAAGAATAAGGCTGATGCTGCTTCCTCCCATTGGCTCCTGTTGCTGTTGTTGCAGTGAGACAAGAAGTTGGAGATCTCCTGAAACAAGGATTGGACTGGCTCCAAGGAACCCAATAACCCTGACCAGCAGGAAGCAGCTAAGAGAACTGTGCCCCCTCTCCCATTGACCCTTTCTCTCTTCTACTTGGTGGTGGGATGTTGGAAGGGATTGGGGTGGAGTAGGGAGAAAAAGATAAAAAATACATATAAAGAGTTTTTTTTTAAGTACACCTACAGCATAGAATCCACTTACAGCAAAGGGCTTAGATGTAGAAATTAATAATTGTGTTAAGAAATCAATTGTGGCTTTTCAATTAACTCTCTCTAGGTAACTATGTGAGGGTTTAGCCATAGCTGTTATGAATGAAATACTGTGTCCCTCCCAAACTCTATGTGTTCAAGCCTCTGCTCCCTTGGGAAGTAATTGGGTTTTGACAGGGTTATGATGGTAGATTCCTTGATGAGGTTAGAGGCTCCATAGGAAATGATACCAGGATTCCCTTGCTCAGTTGCTGCAGTGACAAAAAGCAGCCATCAGCAAGCAGGGACAGGGCTCTCGCCTGGAGCCAAATCCACCAGTGCCTTGATTTGGGGCTTCCTGGTTTTCAGAACCAGGAGAACTGTCTGATTTGAAACCACTCAGTCTATGAAATTTTGTTAGAATGCTGCCTGCTCCAATGAATAGTTTTGTAGGCCTTTTCCTGTCCTTTCAGACATTCAGGATCCAACTTCTAAAATGTTATCAACTGAATCTTACTACATTTTTAGTTATAAGAAACTCAAAGCATTATTGTTCTGAATACTTCTTTTGAAAATCTTAGTCACATTTTCCCCATTAAAAAAGAAGAAAGAAATAAAAGGAAACAGTCAAAGACTAACCTCACTTAGTCAACTATATGCAAATGATTGGAAGGTCCTGCCTTAGCATGCGTACAAATGGTGTAGTTTTAAAACTATCATTTATTTGCTCTCAATTTCAAAGAAAATCTACAAGAATAAAAAGTTACAAAAATAAAGGAAAAGAGAATTCATATAGAGGTTATATTGCTATTCCAGGAAACCACAGTAATTTCTTATGTCACTTAAATGGCAAAGTCAGCTGTCACTTGCTTATCATAAGTTCACAATAAGACACCTCCAGATAAAAATCATGCCTCTATATCCGAAAGATGCTCAAGTACACAACAAGGACTTTTGCTCAGCCACATTTGTAGCAGCTTTATTCGTAATAGCCAGAACCTGGAAACAACCTAGATGTCCATCAACGGAGGAATGGATACAGAAATTGTGTTAAATTTACACAATGGAATACTACTCAGCAATTAAAAACAAGGAAATCATGAAATTTGCAGGCAAATGGTGGGACCTAGAAAAAATCATCTTGAGTGAGGTATCTCAGGAGCAGAAAGACACACATGGTATATACTCACTTATATAGTCCTATAAGATAGGATAAATATACTAAAATATGTGCACCTAAAGAAGCTAAACAAGAAAGAGGACCCGGGGTAAGACGATCAATCCTCACTAAGAAAGACAAATGGGATAGACACGGAAAGTAGGAGAAAACAAGAAACAGAGCAGGAGCTTACCACAGAAGGCCTCTGAAAGACTCTACCTAGCAGAATATCAAAGCAGCAGATGCTGAGACTCATAACCAAACCTTCGGCAGAGTGCAGGGAATCATATGATAAAAGGGGGAGTTAGTATGACCGGGAGAGGACAGGAGCTCCACAAGGAAAAAAATATATCAGGGCACTGGGGTCCTCTATGAGACTGTTTCTCTAACCAAGGACCATGTATGGATATAACCTAGAACCCCTGCTCGGATGTAGCCCATGTATCCAAGTGGGTACCCTAGTAAGGGGAACAGGAACTATTTCTGACATGAACTCAATGACTGGCTCCTTTAACCTCCCTGCTCCCCCGAAGGAGGAACAGCCTTGCTAGGCCACAGAGGAGGACACTGCAGCCCATCCTGAAGACACCTGATAAGCTAGGGTTAGATGGAAGGGGAGGAGGACCTCCCCTGTTAATGGACTTGGAAAGGGACAGGGAGGAGATGAGGGAGGGAGGAAGGGAGGGTGGGACTGGGGGAGATGAGGGAGGGGGCTACAACTGGGATACAAAGTAAATAACCTGTGATTAATATTTAAAAAATAAGAACTAAAAAAGAAAGAAAGAAAGAAAATCATGCCTCAGCACATTCCACTAGTTTAATACATTTCTTTCAGAGGAATCATTTCTTCAATTCAAAAATTTAGAGTAAAACTTCACTTTTCTTTTTATAGGCATATTTTATTATATATTATATTCTAGATTACATTAACATATAACCATTCAAATAAACCTGTCATAATAGAGTTAACTTTGAGCCACTTGGAGAAAATGGATTGATTTTTTTAAAGTATTGAAGTACAAGTATAATGTTGATTTATTACAGTTAAAAAATTTAACATTCAAAAAACTAATATATTACTTGTAAACCAATTTTTAATTAAAATAACAAGAAAATTTCTATGGCGATAAAAGCAAAAAAAAACAGTAATGAGTTCTGCTCTATATATGTTAACTACAATTTTTCCCTACACAGAATTGAAAGAACTCTTGAATAAATCATATATTCAGACTTTCTTTCCAATGTGAGTACCTCATTTCTGATATCAAACATCATGATACTACAAGGGAACTTCCCCAAAAGCTGGAGAGACGACTCCACAGTTAAGAATATGTTCTGCCCATCCAGAGGACTTGAGTTAGCAGGGTCCCAGTTTGGATGGCTCAACCCCCAGCTCTGGGGAACCTGATGCCCTCTTCTGGCCTCTGTAGACACTGCACTCATACACAAACACGTGTACACATAATTTAAAATTAAGATTAAAAATATAAAAATTAAAGCTGGTTGTAGAATATGTTTTATGATAACTAAGAAAACTAAGCTTTCAAGAAAGTGGTTTGCTCAGCTGGGCCGTGGTGGCCCACAGCTTCAATCCCAGCCACTCCAGAGGCAGAGGCAGGTAGATCTTTGTGAGTTTGAGGCCAGCCTGGTCTACAGAGCAAATTTTAGGACATACAGAGCTGTGGTTATACAGAGAAATGTACAGAGAAACATTCTCTTTTGAAAATAAACAAAAAGTATAAATGAGAGAAAAAAGAGAAGGTGGTTTTCTCAGGACAAGGCTTATCCACTGTGCTCCAGACGTGCTTATCCCGGAGACTGCCCCAAATGTGGAAAATTCAACTGCATAATTTGTGGTAGTGGGTGCATGCATCCACCCCTGCCTAAATAAAACAAATGTATAGATATATACTACTCTACAGTAGTGCACATGCTCAGGGTCCCATTATCCTTCTCAAAGTCAGTCTTGTGTGAGTCTGGGAGAACCAGTTTTAAAATAGAAAAATGGGTGTCTGTTGCTTCATGACATGAACACTGCGAATATTTCTTTTGTTTGTTTCTTTTTTGTTTTTTGAGACAGGGTTTCTCTGTGTAGCCTTGGCTGTCCTGGAACTAGCTTGGTAGATCTGGCTGGCAGTGATCTCACAGAGGCCCATCTGCCTCTGCTTCCTGAGTGCTGGAATTAGAGGCATGTGTGTGTATATATACATATATATATATATATATATATATATATATATATATATATGTTTTATTTTATTTTATATATATATATACTGTCATATACATATGACAGTAGATATCAAATATATATTACAAATTATATATAATAATATATAATATTATTTTTAATATGTAATATATCTGGACATATGATAGAGAGGATCAAGCTTTCATTAAATTTTTGTTTAAATTCCAGCTGCTGTGAAGCTATAAATTCACTACTCACAGACTTTCTGAGCTAGAATCGTAATGCAAAAGAATATTTTGCAAAATTTTCCAGAAAACCTGGAGAATTTCTTCCTTCGACAGCAAGTAGACATATTAACTTAGACTTTCCTTTGTTAAGAAAATGCAAGGCCCAGATAGTGACAACCAGAATAAAGAGTTCACACCTCAAGAATGCAATTAGTAGAGAATTGCTAAGCAGAGGTTTCTGGGGTCACTTCTTCAGTTCCCCTCTTTTGTGACATCTACTATAAACTTGCAAGGCCATACCTCCTTCATCAGGTTGGTGATGTACTTCAAGTGTAGAAATTCGGGGGTCTTGTCTAAATCCAGTGAGGACCTTCCTTTAATCTCCTTCTCAAAATCTTCTTTGTAAACCTTCTGTCAAGTAAGACCACATCATTTTCAGTGTAAAAAATTCTAGTGAGTAGAAGAAAGCTACAAGAACAGCATTTGTTCTCAGAACAATGTGTTTTCTCATATAATTCTACCAGCTCAATCTTCTTCATTGTTTTCATGAGCTTTATTATAAAAGAAAAACTTGCAAACAAAAAAAACCTCACATAGCAAAATTAACTAGTTTCCTTAACAACAGAAAAATAATTCCAGCTTTGTCAGTTACAGGATTCTACCAAAAAGCAAAGAGTCCACCAAACAGGGTTTCTCACACAGAGGGAAGGCACTACAGATCTTACGCCGTCAACATCACTCCATCTCGCAGGAAGAAAAAGACAGGCTGTCTGACTGGGGCATCTGATGACTTCATTCAAAATGAAGAATGTGTGGCTCATCCACTGGGAAAACCTGGTGTAGAAACCAATTCAAACTCTACAGTAGTACATGTGCTCAAGGTCCCATTATCCTTCTCAAAGTCAGTGTTGTGTGAGTCTGGGAGAACCAGTTTTAAAATAGAAAAATGGGTGTCTGTTGCTTCATGACATGAACACTGTGAATATTTCTTTTGTTTGTTTGTTTTTGCTTTTTGAGACAGGGTTTCTCTGTGTAGCCTTGGCTGTCCTGGAGCTAGCTTGGTAGATCCGGCTGGCAGTGATCTCACAGAGACCCATCTGCCTCTGCTTCCTGATGCTGGAATTAGAGGCATGTGCCAGCACCTCCCTTAGAGAATATTTCTTCACTACTTATAAATATTCATATGGATGAAGCTACACTGTAGGACAACCTTGCCATAATGTGTTGGGTCCTTCTCTAAGTAAGAGTTCACAGCAGCAGCTGGGGGAGGGGTGGTTCATGACGAAGCAGTTACCCATCATGTGTGAGGCCTGGTGTGCCGGAGGAGCTAAATCTATGACAAACCTTGCCTTTCAGGCCTTCTCTGACATCTCTGGCTCTAGCTATAAATTCAGGCCTTCTGAGTTACACACTTCAAAGTCAATGATAACCCATACTTTATTTTTTTAATTTATATATTTTCATTGTATGTGTATGAGTGTTTTGGCTGCATACACAGATGAACACCATGTATGGTATCTGTGGAGGCCAGGAGAGAGCACTGGATTCCCTGGACCTGGAATTAGAAAGGTTGTAAGATGCCAATATGGATGTTGGGTAATGAGCCCAAGTCTTCTTCAAGAGCAGCAAGTGTTCTTAACCACTAAGAAACCTCTCTAACTCTAATAACCTATGATTTGCCATGACAAAGATAATCTCTTCCAACAAAGTATCTACTCATCTGAAAGGTTTACTAAAGAGGGGCCAAATTTTACCAAATAATCGATTCAAAAGATATCACACAGATAAAATAAACAAATTGTGCCTAAGATTGTTATTCATGCAAAATGACAAGCTATTTCTAGGTTCATTATGCATTCATCGCAAAGAAAGTTAATTGTGTAAATAAACATATTCTCCAAACCAAGAGGGAGATGAAGATAAACATGCTCCTCTTCACAAAGCATTTGTGTTACATATAGTCACTCCACCAATAATAAGCATGGCTGTGAGAAAAGGCTGAAGAAGATGGCTATTCTGTAATCAATCAAAAAGCCTCACTGAAAGCATTTTGAATTAAAGAACCATAAATACACCAAAAAATTATGAGAAATTGCTCTTTTTTCAGGTTGAACTAATTGGGATAGCATGGCTATACAACCAAAACGTATGACATTATTTCTAGGCCAAGCAGATTCTTTATAAAGTAAAACCAAGGGTGCATATTTATTTATATTAGATATTTCACTTCAAAAAGCACTTCCCTGGAGGAAAATCATTGCAGTAGGTCATTAAGAAGGGGTGGTTCTGATTGAAGCTGCCCAATACAAAGCCCGAAAGAACCAAAAACCAATGTTATGATCTATGCGGAGAGGCATTTGTGAAAGCAAAAACAAAGAACTTCCCAAGGAAAGACTTAGAGATTTCTTCTAGAAAACACAGATTAAGCCTATATCTGGCACTGGATGAAAATGAGATGAACATGATGAAAGGCTAGAGAAAGACATGGGTGGCTTTCTCTGAAATCAGGCTTTTCTCATATCAAATACCTCAAGGAATACAGTCCAGCCTAGTTGTATGGGCTCAAGGCCAAATTAAGACAGGTGGCTCTCTTCAGGTCTGCCTTATTCTTTTTATCCAAAGGGACTTTTTTGTATCATACTTTATCTAAACTTTTTAGATACTTATTTCTCTGGCTGTAAGAATATCAGTCTTGTCCAAAGAAATTCCTTAATAGAAGTCTTTACTCTCATCAAACCCTGCTAAGTACAGACAAAACTGGAAAAAAAAATGAAGGGAAATAAAAGAAGAAATCTAACCATCACTAGCTATAATTAAAGGAAAAACTTGCCTGCCTGGTAGGGAAAGAGCAAATAGGGTGAAGAAAGAGAGAATATTATAAGAGATGAGGTGAAAGTCTCCAAATCATTGTTATCGTTAATTCAGAAGCAAGGCCTCGAAATATATTAACCATGAATAATGAGATAGGTAAAGGCTTGTTGGTGAGAAGACCGTTAAACATTTAGTATACAAAAGAATTAAGATAACCACAGTAACAACAAGAAAAGAGCCTTTTCTATATGAGTCTCTGGCTCTGGAGAGAGAGGCAGGAAGATGACTAGCTATGGAGGCAGGAGGAGGCCGTCAGGGTGCTCTGGGGGATCTGGAAAGAGACCATGGGGGAACTAGGGGGAGGCAAAGTGGAGGCCATGGGAAGGTTAAGGGGACATTGTAGGGAGGCCATGGAGATGCTGAGACAGAGTTATAGAAAGACTGTGGTGAAGCTGTGAAATGGCAATGATGAGGCTGAAGCCATTTTCCAGATGTTTTAACTTTAAAAATGGGTGGGGCTTTTGTTTTCTTTGTTCTTCAGTTAACACTGGTTTAACAGTTTTACACAGTGTTAAACTTCCAGAAAACTGTGAAAGTCAAAATTTCTCCCTGGACCACATAATTCCTATAAAATGGGGATTGCCATTAAAAGTGCAGTGCTAACAAATCTGGCCCCAGGAGAGAGACTGCAGAAACTGATGTACCAACCAAAGACCATGCATGGGCCTGCTCAGATGTAGCCCATAGGCAGCTCAGTCTCCATGTGTGTTCCCTAGTAAGGGGAGAAGGAGCTGTCTCTGACAAGAACTCAGTTGCCTGGTCTTGGATCACTCACTCCTGGCAGTACAGTCTTGCCAGGCCACAAAGGAAGAGGAGCCAGGCAGTCCTGATGAGACTTGATAAGCTATGGTCAGATGGCAGGAGAGGAGGCCTTCCCCCTGTCAGTGAACTAGGGAAGAAGAAGGAGGGAGAATGGGACCAGGAGGAGATAAGGGAGGGGGCTATAATCAGGATATAAAATGAATAAATTGGTTTTTTTTTTTTAAAGCAATGCTAGCTTACATAAAAGGTATCACTGCCATGGAAAATAATCACACAATGTAAAGGGTATCGAAAAATGCTGTCTCTCCTGTTCCCTGTTTTCTCCCTCTTCTGATGTCTCTGAAAGACTCTACCATGTAGGGTATTAAAACAGATGCTTAGACTCATAGCCAAACTTTTTGCAGAGTGCAGGGAATCTTATGAAAGAAAGGGGAGATAGACTGAAGGAGACTAGAGCTTCACAAGAAGAACAACAGAACCAAAAAATCTGCGCCCAGGGGTCTTTTCTGAGACTGATACTCCATCCAAAGACCATTCATGGAGATAACCTAGAACCCCTTCACAGATGTTGCCCATGGCAGCTCAGTGTCCAAGTGGGTACCCTAGTAAGGGGAACAGGGACTGTCTCTGACATAAACTCAGTGGCTGGCTCTTTGATCACCTCCCCCCGAGGGGGAACTGCCTTAAACTCAGTCACCACAGCTACTGACAGTTCTTATCAAATTCAATAAAAGACTTAAGATGATGTGACTGAAAAGGATAAGCAATGACTTTCCCCTCTTTGACTTCCAGAAGAAATTAGCCAAGTGTCCAGTCTCAGACTGTCTAAGGGGCCTTTTTCCAAAGAAATGGATTCTAGAATCCCAACAAAGCAGACGGCAAACAAAAATGTAACATTAAGTTGTAGCTGTCGATACAGCTGGCCCTGCTTCTGTCCCTCAAATGGAAGGCCCGTTGGTTAGCACAGAAGGTAGATGCTGCGGCCCAAAAGGGAAAGAAAGTGAGGGAATCACTTTCAGAGAAAAACATGATCCAAGCAGTGTCTGACAGGATTATCTTCTCTTAGAAGAAAAGTAAACACATTCAAGTATTTACTGGGGGTGGCTACAGTTAAATAAACTTACAGAAAAGGAAAGGAAAGAAGTACCATGATTGTAACCAAGTCTAAAACACTGGTGACATTTACCAGATACGTGATTTTATTTAAGGTAGTTAAATGTGGTGCATTACTTTCTCCTCAAGCCATTACCTTAACAATTAAATGAGCAGATGTAGGCAAGCCTCTCAGCAAGCCAGCAGACACAAAATAAGGGTTTAATTATTTCAGTGTTGGTTCTATTATCATTGCAGGGGGAGGGGAATAAAAGCAACCAGATCTTCATGAGTTTTAGATACAGTTTTACATTGATACAGTTTGAAAGTGTTGGTTTATATTCATAGACAATCTGAAAAGGTCTCAGTGCTTTCTTCATGGGGTGTGAGAGCATGAGGAGCTCATCTGCTTGACAGCTACAGTCGTTCATCAGTAAAGCTGAGGAGCAGGCAAACTCAGTCACCTCCAGCAGTGAGGGGCTGGGCCTAGAGCACAGGTCCTGCCCTGCAGAGCTGTGCTGAGTCTAAAACGAGGTCCCTGAGCCTGTCCTCCAGAGTAATGTTGGGTCTAGAACAGGGGTCTCCAAGTCTGCCCCACAGAGCAGTGTCTTGTCCCTAGACGTGACTCATCATTCTTGTCTCTAGACCCTACTCTTTTTTTTTTTTTCTTAATTGCATTTGTAGTTATGTAAACATGCATGGATTGTTCTGTAGGCTAATAGATTCAAAGGCAAAAACAAACAAAAATATCATTCCTTACTCCAGTGTTACAGATAGTTAGGAGGACTGGGCCAGGTAACATCAATCCTAAAAAAATGTATTAGAGAAGTATTCCCCAACACAGCTGCCTTTTAGGAAGTAACACCTCCATGGTGTCTTAGTCAGTGTTATTGCTGTGAAGAGACACCACAACAACTCTTTTCTTTACTATTGTTATTTATAATTTATTCACTTTATATCTGGATTGTAGTCAGCTCCTTCATCCCCTCCTGGTCCCATCCTTTCTTGCTATTTCCTCCATCCCCTTCCCCTAGTCCACAGAAACAGGACCCCTCCTCCCCTACCATCAGACCCTACTATCAAATCTCATAAGGACCAATGAGAAAAGTTCAAGTATCCATTGAACAATTAGCAACAAGCCCCAACCCCTACCTCACTCTGCATCTTCTGAGCTTCCTTTGAAGACTGATATGACGGTGTCTCAACAAACTCCAGCATGGACTTTCCCTTATTTTTCTCATATTCTTCTCTGTATTTTACCTGCATTAAAAAAATATCAAAAACATAAAAATAAGGGCTGTGTATAGCTCAGGGTCGGAGCACATTCTTAGCAAGTACAAGGTCTTAGCTTCAATTCCCAGCAATAATAACAACAAGAACCAAAACCCCATGTAGAGAGCAAGAGACAATAAATGTATCCAAAACTAATCATCCTGTTTCATGATATCAATTTATTCTGGCAGTTTAGAGTGATGAATGGGTTCCCCAAAGTTAGTGACATATGTAAATGGGTCATATATAAAAACTTTTAAGAACAAAACTTTATTCAGCCCAACCAAAAGGTATTTAGTATCACAGGACATTAAATAATGTGTTCTATAAAGGACAAATAAAATGTATTTTTCAAATAGGTAGAATATGTAGCTATTTATTACATACACGGGGTTATTTATATACGCACTCACATCAGACATATGTGGGGCAAAGAATGGAGTAAGTAGGAAAAGGTAGAGAGAGCTCAGTGACATGTGTATCACTACATTATGCATAAGGTTAAAAATGGATGTGATTACCTTTCTGTCAAAAGAGGGAAACGTTCCCTGGAACTCTTGAGTGTCTCCATAGAAAATAACTAACACATAAATGATCCTTCCATTTCACCATCATGTTATGACTTTAATTTAATAATAATATCATATTTAATAATATCATGGTATGACTTATCTGTTTCAATTAAATTAGCTTTATCTCTTTTCTATTTATAAAGGGAAGAATATTTCTGTTGCTTCAGGTTTTGCTTTACATTTTCTTTGTTTGTGTGTACATGCGCACATGTGGCCGTGGTGTTATGTGTGGTGTGTGAACACATGTGCCCAGGCGCAGGCGCGCCTGTGTCTGAGCCGCAGAGGTCAGAAGAGGAGGCTGGGTGTCCTGTTCTACTGTTCCCTGCCTTCCTTCCTTGAGACAGAAAGATCTGGATGTGCAGTTAGGCTGGGAGCCAGCCAACCCCAGCCATCCTCCTGCCTCCATTGTCCCCAACACGCGATGTTACAGACAGAGCTGCATGCAGTCACTCCCCGCTTTTGACGGGGTTCTGGAGATGGGGTCTAGAGATGGAGGTTTCAGAGACAGGGTTCTCGGGTCCTCATTCTTGCACAGCAAGCATCTTACTCGCTGAGATCTCTTTCCAATGTGCGTCTTCTATCTCATAAAACAAAAGCTAAAATCGTACGAAAGCCATCACAATGGTTAGATTTTAGCCATATTTTTTAAGTGAATTCGTAAAGCTTTGATCATGACTCGCTTCTTTCAGAAATGCATATTCATCAATTCTTGGACTTCATAATTGCTTGTGAGTTTTTTTATGTTGTATAATGATGATGGCTAGCTCAGCCCAAAAGAAAATTTCTTATACTTAGAAGTTTGTGATAACGAGAAATACATTAAAAAAAAAAAAAAACTATTTGTGACATAGTTTTATTTCAGACAAGTATGCTGCATACATGATATCATTCTATACTAGATTACAGTTTTGTGGGGGAAAAAATTGAAAGAAAAATAAGAATTTAAGGCAGACAGACATAGCACACTGGGGAGGCTGTGGTAGGAGGCTAGTTACAAGTCAAGTTACACAGAAACTCCCAGGTCAGCCCTCTCTTGGGGAGGGAGGGAGGGCAGGAGAGAGGCGAGGAAGAGGGAAAGAGAGTGTTAATTATTTAATCATGAATTAATTTAAAGACAAACTCGTGCTTCCAAACACCGGGGAGAGGTGTTAAGGCGTCAACTGGTTACACTCTAGACGCCCTGAGAAAGAATCCCCGTGAGGTTCCAGACCAGGCTGGCCTGTAGGAACTTGTTTCACTTGTGTTCACTGATGTGGAAGAGACAGCCTAAGAGTGGGTGACGCCACTTCCTAGATTTCAGTCCTAGACTGTGTGGAAAAGGGGGCGGTGACCTGGGCACAGACACGGGTCGGGTCTCAACGCGTTGCTCCCTGCTCTGCACTGGGTGCACCTGTGCAGCCAGCGCTTCAACTTCCCACCACGCTGCCTCCCCACGGAGCTGGGCTGCAACCTCTGACCCCCGGAGCCCTTGCTCTTTTGAATTGATTTTGTCGGGGTATTTCACCACAGCAACAAGAAAGAAAACTAAATCGGGGAGTAATTCATTTTCAAATCATTATAGAATTTAGGTTCCACAGAATACAGTTAAAAGAGTCGTGTAAATGTTTAGCTTAACAGATGCTAGAAACTGCATCTTTTACATCTATTTTAAACTTGGAATAATAACTTAAAAACAGATACTGACTTTACAATGTGCTAGGAAGAAAAAAAAATAAGTTCTTTTACAGAATGCATAGGGTTTCAATGTTAGAAGAAACATTAATTTAAAATGCATTAGCAAGGATGTTTTCCTTTTTCAATAACATTTCTAATTAAATGGAAAAATTATAATAAACCTTATACCAAGAAAATTAATTTTGAGCTCAAAAATGTCAAATCGGCATAGTATAAAAATTTAAATCATCATGAGATTTGATCGCAGTTTAATTAGTTCCTAGATTTAAACTTTTTAATTATATGAAGAACTTATTTTTATGAAACTCCTTTATGTTGAAACAGATCCAGCTGACCCAAAAGATAGAAAATGGAGTCCTGAAGCAACTTTAATGTCCTTGGACTCCATTCTTCAGAGAACATGGCACTAGGTGGTGGACAACCTAACGGTCACGTGGGTGAGAGGGGCGCACCTGGCTCAGGAGGGCGGCCGTGTCTTTGTGGTGCACGTGTTCCGAGGCCTCCGCATCAAAGTGGTACAACCCTTTGTTTTCTTCAAAATTCTTTTTATATTCCCACTAAAAGAAAAGAAAAGAAAATCAGCGAGAATAAAAGAGAGCGGTGAGTAAAATTCAGACTCAGGGATGTAGGGGTGGCTCTTGTCTAGCCTCCCAGCACTTGGGCGGCTGAGACAGGAGGACTGCTGACAGTTCCGGGCAGCCCTGGGCTACAGACTGAGGCTGCCTCACAGCAGTTCTCAGAGCAAACAGCATACAAACTGGAAGGCGCTGCCGTGGCGCCACAGAGCCTGGATCTGTCACAGCTGCTGTGGAGGAGACTTTGGAGCCGAGATAAATGGACAGTACAAGATGGTCTCGCTGCAGGCGTCCACACGGAGAGCACAGGAAGTGTCCAGAGATTGATTGTAGACACGACACAGAACACAGTCACAGAGTGGCAATGAGCAATCACTAGATGGGATCTCATGGGTCCTAATGGGCAAGGTGGAGTGAGATATGGACGCTGCTCCTTCTCATGGGACAGAAAAAGTGTTTAACAGTGTCCTGAAGATGAAATGGAAACAAAAAGGAAGAACGGGGGAAAGGAAGCTGGATCTAGGAAGGTGGCTGCACAGAAAAGCTCAGCCATGAGCAAGAAGAGAAGTCACAAGGACAAAGAGAAGCTGAGAAATAACTTAGCTAATTTTCTGAATTCCAAGGAGAGGGTGGGAGGTATCAAGAAGAACTGAAGAATCCACGTGCAGTTGATTGGATTTTTAAGTTGAAGAAGCTGGAAAAGGCCCTCTGCTATTTCAGACACACATGCACAGGTAAATTTGGAAGAGACCAGAATAAATATGGATGGCATTTCACTCTAGACTGGCAGCAGGGAATCAAGATCTCTAGCACTGGAGAGCAGACACTTGGGAATTAGTCCTATGGAGGAAGACTTCTACAGCAAACAGTAGCCATCAGAGAGACAAGGCTACAGAGACTTACAGAGATCAAGTTACAGAGACAAGGCTACAGAGACTTGCAGAGATCAACTTACGGGTTCCAGAAAAAAATGGTTGCATTGAATGAAGAAAATATCTGTAACATTTGACTGGCAGCCCAACAGAAGTGGCCACAAAGACACTCGTGGATCCTAGGCGCTGCTTTGAGGATGGAGACATGGGCAGGGAGAACGCTTAGCATCAGGAACAGGAAGATGGGAGGTGTGCCTGACCTGCCACAGAGGCCTTGCTCAGTAGGGACAGAGTTCCAGAGGGAGCCTGGCTTCAGGTGCTCCCTGTCACCAAATTCTAACCAGCATGAAATGAATTTGGAAAGAAGCACGGGAAAGTCACACATGACATCCTGACTGGAAAGAACAATCAAATTTGGGTTCCTCTATGAATTTGAGATTAAAACTAAATAAAAGCTAATTCAAACAAAAGGCAAAGCCTAAGCCTGACATGATACACTGAGAAATGTTATACCATGCTTAAATTTTTTAATAATACCTACTTATAAAAGAACTATAATTTGAATGTATTAAGGCAAAACATATTCTACTATGGGGTCAAAATTCATAACTAATGAAGTCTAGGGAATTATGCTCAAAATAACAGATGTATACTAAAAATGGACTATGACCAACTCTTCAAACTCTAATCTGCAAATGAAATTCCTGATGCAAGGGCTTGTTTCCTGTATTAAATAGTCTCTGTTGCCCTCTAGTGGAAGTTATGTAGGATAACACAGTATATATTTTTAAAATTTACATAGTTATAGGGAAATTGAAAGCTCCATTTTTTCACAGCAAAATGTTTCTTCAAACATTTAGTTGGTGGTTCTGGGAAGGCTTTTAAATTACTTATTCTGCTCTACACATGACACATTAAAATTTAAAAATTCTGATATAGACCAATACATTTAAAGATGTTTAATAAAACAGACATTTATAGCAACCTAGCACTGAACTTCAGCAAAATCTCTAACATAAAATTTCTTCTTCAACGTTTTAATAAAATCTAACCAAAAATATTTCTATTCTCTTTATACAAAAATTTAAAAGAAAGCTATCCTAACTCACAACAAAAATAAGACAGTGTAGTATTACACAATGATTCAGAGAAAGTCTAACTCTCTGGCCCACGTGAGTGATGTAATCGGTTTGGTGATACATAGTGATATATAGTCTAGGGCAGACAGGAGATCTAAGCTCTGTGAATAATGAAAAAAATCGGTAGCATGACTTTGTCAGGCTTTCTGTTGGAGAGATGACAGAAACTGCATACTTTAAATTTTGATTTTTCTTCTCTAATGTAAAACAAACATCAGCACTTTGAAGAGAAAGGTTGCCTGTGAGAGGCCTACATTCTTGCTCATTTACACATGAATCCCATGTCCCTAGGAGAGTTAGTCTGAGTGTGTATAGGGGACAGTCCAGGCCAAACACTGCTACTAGATAAAAGCTGGACACTGGAGACTGAAGAAAGCAGAGGGGTGCAGAGGACAGAAAGATGGGCATGTGACTCACAGAGAAAAGCAGGAAGGCAGCACAGAAACGAAGGGCGGCTGGGATGTGTGTGTTGCTGGAGGAGTAAGCGCGGATGAAGCAGGACAATGTAATCTGAGGACTGACACCAAGGGATGTCAGCATGGCTCTAACACTGGAAACAATACACTGCTTTTGGCCCAGAGAGCAATACTTCCTAAATAAATTAGAGATTAATCTCTGCCAGTATGAACCACTTACGTTAAGATGCACCTTGAGAAGGCTAGTGTAACAGAAGTTTTGATTTCTTTAAAAACTTAGTTCTGTTATGTAAATCACTTTTGTTTTAATCCCAAGCATGGGATTTTAGTTTGGGCTTTAGTCCATAGCTGGTAACTGCCTCCTGAGGGGCATGGTCTTTGCCAGCTGGTAATGGCCTGCCTGGTACAGAGAGGCCTTGTCTAGCACTCTGAGGGATAGAAATATGAGAGCCCAGAAAGAGAAAGTGTGGCAGTTCGGAGAGAAAGAGTGGAAGCTTAGACAGATGAAGAGAAACTTCATGCTGTGTTTGCTGTTGTCGGAGAATTGGGGTAGCCCCCACAAGAACCCATCAACCCTAAACAGCAGGGAGAAGTAAGGGGTCTGCACCTCCTCTCCCCACTAACCTCTCTCCTACCTAGGGTCAAAGGGTTGGTGGACGGGAGGGAGAGCTGTAAATACACTAAATAAAATAGAATTTAAAAATGAGCACAGCCGGCTGGTGGTAGCAACATGGAGAGAGTAGACATACAAGTACCAAATGGTGTTTGCCAATGCTAAGAAATGAAGTTCCCTCAAGACGAAGGGATGTAGCTGTGGAGGGCTCAGCACTGAAGACGGCGGGCTCAGCTGCTGAAAAGGCCGCCACCACTTCTTCCCATACCTTACCCAACATGTATTTTCTCATCTGATCTGGATCTGATCTGTAAGTTAGGACACTTTTAAATGAATGGATGGTTGTTATTAAAACAGGAATAACTTGAGGTCAAATTAGAGTCGATCATCACCATGTGGCACCTGGAACCACCAGTGACCAAGAGTCTTCAGTTATAAAAGCTAGTGCAGTCAGCAGCCAGATGTATCCGAAGACCCTGTACCCCAGAAGGGACTGTTCTGAGGGACTGGCCGCATGAATAGGAAACACAGCTATGACCATCAGGACGTAAAGCTCTCCTTGCTGGCCTGACAGATAACAGTCCATCTCAAGACTACGCTCATAATGACCATTCAACAAAGGCACCATCATGTTTCCTTGTCAGAAAAAATAGTTTCAACTATGACTGTATTTTATATATGCCTATAATACTAGGTATAAACAACATGTTTGCTAATGAAGACATAACATATATGACATTCTGGTATGGCTTTCATAAAAGAAGAGCCCTGACTGCAAGACATGGCTACCAAGTGGCTTCACTCTGATACAGATGAAGACACGAGAAGGAGGGCGAACGGAAATGGATGCTTGCTTATAAGAGTACAGTGAGTGTGCTTGCACTCACGAGATGTGAGAGCTTGCAGGAACCCACGTTAGGTGTCACTTTCTTCAGTGCAACAGCTCTGTCCATGCTCCAACAAATAACTTCCCATTCCCGGCCTTGCAGGCAACCCTCGTTAAACTGAATGTATCAAACATACACAAACATGTGAAAGTAGGAGGGGAGTTGGCAAGAAGATGGGGTTGGATAGAAGAAGAATGGGGGACAAGACAGAGTAATATGGGATGAAAGGGTTAATATATATTCTATACATGTATGAAATGGGAAAGAGTAATTCAAGAAAAAGAACGTTTATGAAGAGGCCGTGGGATTTGCATAAGCAGGTGGCTACTTTCCAGTGGGGCAGTTATTGGGGAGGACGGGCACACAGGCGCAGCTAACAAAGCTTACACGCCAGGGAGCAAACGGGAGCACCAGCATCGCAGAGCTACAGGCGTCTACTCTACAGTGGCCACAAGACTTACTCCACTGAGCATTCTGCTGGCCTTCAGAGCATGGTCTAAAAACAACAGATTTGGGAGATCTGAAACTGGTTCGTGAATGGTTTGAACATCTTTCTTGTACTGCACCTACAAAAATAACATGAAACAAAATACCATCTAGCAGAAGAAAACAGGCGTTGTAATTGCTTTTATTTTTATTTTATTTATTTATTGTTCTCCTCACACACAGCATCTTGGTTAGTGACTGGAAGATTTACAAGCAGCCACTAGATGGTGCTGATTCACTACTGAATGAGTAAAATGGTTATTTATGGACTTGCAAATATTTAAATTTCTTTTACAGTTTATATGTTCCAAAACGGTGGTGTTAACACACTTAAGTAATTATAGTAGAAACTCTACTTTCAGAAAACAAGGAAAATCATTGCTTTACTTTTTCCACGCTGCTGTAGAATTATTTCATTTCTACTTTGCTGTAATTTAGGCTTTTTCAACTTTGCATTCTGTAGCCATGCAAATCTATTCTGATTGTTTTAAACCAACTGCTCTGGAATGTAATGCTAGCAATGAGAATCAAATATAGGCATCAATCATATTAAATACTAACTTCATGCCCAAAACTTTTAAAAACACATTAAATATGTGAAGTAATTTTTATAACCACCCTAATTGTTGAGCATTTCATTCCCATTTGACAGATGTGAAAACTGAGGCACAGAAAAGATTGAAGGCAGAACAGTAAGTGGTGGGACAGGATCACATCTGGACGACTGATCCTCAGCCTTGAGCATTCAAAGCTAAATTCTAAATTCCTTTAAGATCAGCTCATTTCTACCCCCTTCATGTCTTGGCACACATTCAAAAATTATCAGTCAGGAAAAGAAAGATTCTGATGTCTCCAGATAAAAATGCCCACCTTAACTTCTACCGACAAACCAAGACTTGTTACTGAACCCTCTAAACATTAGTGAAAGAAAAGTACAGCCAGTCCCAGAAAATGAAGATGGCTGAGCAGATGCCTCAGGAGCAACCTCTTCAGGACACTCAAGTTTTCTGATTTAAGGGTTTGTACATATTTTAAATAGCCACAAAATGATCTGTTTGACATTGTTTCTGTTTTTATACAATGCATCTTACTAGTAAGAATTTCGAACAATTCTTACCAAATAAATCCTTCTTCATTTTAAAATCATAAAAATAAATCTATAAGGACAGCACTTAGCATAATAAAAGTGAAAGAAATTTTAAACCTCTCACAGTACAATTCATGACCATATCTTTTTTACAAACCCCCATGTATCAGGTAGTACTTTGTAATAAACTCAATTTTGTGGGCATAATTATGTGTTAATTGTTGTCCTACCTACTAATTTGTGATAATATACATTTCTTTCCTGAAAAACTCTATCATCTATTTCTACTCTTGATCAGACACAATATAATTTTATTCATACCACTGTTCCTACTTATTAACTAATTAGTAATCAGTAACCATTAATAGCAAATTATAATAATATACTTTTCTGGAAAAAAGCTTCAGGAAAATATGCTTCAGTGTTTTCAACTACAAATTATTTGGAAATTACATGATCTTGATTAAATATCAGTAATTACAACACAGTCAGTTCTAGGAAAACAAGACTCTAAAGATATGGAGAGCGATTTCTGTAGATTACAACTTACGTCACTTGCCAGGACAGTAGCGAGCCGGTGCTGTCTAAATGAAGCACTTTCCAGAGGGTTGTAGTGGTGGCTCTTTTCCTTCATTTCATTATCAAATTTTTCTTTATATTTAACCTATCATAAAGAAAACGGACAGGCTAAATGAAATCACATATTTTAGTAAAAAAGTAACACATTAGGCTTCTTTTAAGAGATAAGATAAAAGCTACCTTTCAAATGAATAGTAAGACAGTTTAAATTCCTGATATTCATTCCCCCTCCATAAACTTAATGAGGCATTTAGAAAAATTTAATGTGCTACTTGAATATTGGTCATGAATGCCATTAAGCATGAACTCAAATTCTCTGCTCATGAGAATTATGCATTTAAAATATAATTTTTTACATCATTTTCCATTTCTGTACTCCTGTAAACTGGGATCAGTTAGAACTGAGACCACACATTTCTTAAGGTCTGCACACTTAGAAAAGGGGTTCTTGGAACCAGAAATCGAACGTGTTTTCCTGGGGGAATTATTCCAAATAAAGAATACAGTTGGTATCCATATTTCATTTGTTCAAAAATTCATTTTTAAAACTGTATTTCTCCAACATTCATATTTTAATTGTTCAAAGCCGAATTTTTAGGAAATAGATTTTCTACATTGTTCTACATCTACTTCCTGACAGTTTTAGGGTTTGTTTTTTTTTTTTTTTCTGCTTTAAGCCCTTAGCTTATCCAGCAGAAAAAGTATGTTAATATTCAGTCTAAATTTTTTTCTTCTTTAGTCATAAGACAACAAGAAAAAGAATATCAACTTAGAGTTATTCATTCATGGTTAAATAAGAACAGGAAGGCATGTTATAGACTGGAATGTAGAGACAATTTCTCTCCCAAAACAGATAAATGAATAACACCTTAGCTACTCTCATCTCATATCCCTCGATGAATTCTGCCAGAAAATGATGTACATATTTCAGAAGCAAAAATAAAAAGGTTTTCTTTCATACTATTTCTATAATCTTACAATATTTTACAATATTGTAAAAGACAGAGCCCTAAGGCTCTGTCTTAAGTAGTCCCTATTAAATAGAATTTGAAAATGACTGCTTTCACGGCCTGTTTGGGGTGGTGGTCTTCTCCAGGGATACCTGCCAGGTGTCTACAAGAGCGAGCCAGTGAAGCTTTGGTGGTAATACAGTATTGGAGAAGTACCTCCTGTGTGCTCTGTTTGCAAATAATTTTCTGGAGAGATAGGATAGACAGAGGTAGTGGTTAAAGACAGGGAACAAGGTAGGAGAGGGAGCACAGAAAGTCAAGAGGCCAGAGATCACATTTGGGGAGAACAAGGGGGAGAGGACAGAAGAGAAACTGAGGGTGGAGGCATCTCTGTGACAAGCTGGAGACCTAAGGTAGGCTCCTGGGAGGACATGAGGGGGGTTCAAGCAGCGACTCCCAGTAGCAGGCCATAAACACTGAAGAGGACACCACTAACTAGACTAGTCTCCTAGCAGAGGGAGGGGAACACCAACCCACCCACAAAAACTTCAACCCCAAATTTACCCTGCCTACAAGATGTGCAGGGATAAAGATAGAGCAGAGGTTGAGGGAATACCCAGCCAATGACTGGCCCGACCAAAGACCCAGCCTATCAGAGAGTGCCAAGCCCTAACACTATGACTGGTACTCTGCTAAGGTTGCAGACAGGAGCCTGACAGAGTTATCCTCTGAGAGGCTCTACCTAACAGTGCCTCAAAACAGATGCTGAGACTCACAGCCAAATATTAGGCAATGAGAAGGGAGTCTTGTGGAAAAATGAGAGGAAAGATAAAAGGAGGTGACCTGGAGGTGACAGGAGCTCTAAAAAAAGATCAACAGTGCCAACTAACCAGGACCCAGAGGAGTTTGCTGAGACTGAAGTATCAACAAAGGAGCATGCATGAACTGGATCTAGACAACCTACAAAGATATAGAAGATGGGCAACTTGGGCTTCATGTGGGTTTCCTAGTAAGGTAAATGTGGACTGCATAGGACATGGACTCACTTGCCAGCTTTCTGATCACTTCCCCTGGTAGGACTGCCTTGCCAGGCCACAGGGGAAGAGAACAACTCAGTCCTGATGCAACTTGATGAGCTGGGGTGGATGGGAAAAGGAGCCCCCCTTTTCTGAAGAAAGGAGGAGGGGGAAGGAGGGAGAACCAGACTGGGAGGGGAGGAGGGATGGGGCTATAACAAGGATGTAAAGTGTATTAAAAATTTTGTAAAGAAAAGAATAATAATAAAAAAATAATACTCTGTTCTTCATGCTGCTTGGTACATTTATTTTAAATAATTGGTAAAGCATTTTCAAAATGAAAAAAAGATTTAAAATTATTATTTTGTAGATTGAAATCAGAGACAAGAGCACAAACAGAAAATATTTCTATTTCCTTCATACCTTAACTGGCATCACTTAAGGATCCTCCTTCCTCAGCCATGTTCATGCTTGCACTTCCTTTCCAAGACCAGCCTCCTTCCACCCAGTCACTTTACAGTGATTCTCTTGGGCAGTGGCTGTGCGGCTCGAATTAGCTGGCACGCTGTGTCACGCTGCCTGGCACCAACTTTCCAGTCAATTATCCTGTTCTCTAACCTCAGCCAACTTGTGTGTCTCCATTACATAAAAGAGAAAGTAGGCTTTCATCCCTGGGGAGCCTGAGTTTCTTTCGTTACTGTAATGAACAACAACCCAGTCAACTTGGAGGAGGAAAGGATTTATTTTGGCTCACAGTTCCAAGTTACCGTCCATCTCTGCAAGGAGGCCACAGAGGCAGCTGTGGAGACAACCGCTCAGGCGTCATCCACGGGAGGGCCACAGAGAGCGAGGGATGAATGCACACTTGTTGCTTAGTTGGCTTTCTCCGCTTTGCAGCGTCCTAGACACTCTGGTCATCGAACCGTCCCCCACCATCGTGCCGGGTCTCTCCCACATCAGAACATCACAAGAAGTCCGCACAGGCATGCCTACACACCCATCGCACAGGCCGTTCTAGACCCTGTCAGGGAAACGATTAACAGGAGCCACACCAGCACACTTGCTACTGCTTGTGTACACCTCGCCCTGCCACGACCGTTACACAGGATGCAAAGACGATGGTACGCTGGCGTGGGAAATAAAAATGGTAGCTTATCTGCTACTGAACCTGGCATTTCCTCTCTTAAGAAAATACATATCTCTGATAAATAATTATCAATCTCTTGCCCACAGCATTCCAATAATTATATTGAATGTAATAATAAGAACTGTAAATTTGTTTTCATCCTAAACTTTGGTTGCCTAAGTAATGTGGTTTCAGAAGATGTGTATGAAACAAAACATGAGTTTTCATTGTTAATTAACTAACACATAATAACCTCATATATAAAAATACATTGAACAAACACGGACATACAACTGGATCTTGCCTCAAACCTTCTCCAAGATTTGCACATACGAATAAAGAATAAAGAGACTCAAATGGCTGATGTGGGTCAAGTCTCTCACCTCCTGACTGTCTCCCTCACTAACGGAGCAGACATGTTCAACATTCTGTTCCATTTTCAATCCACAGTTCACAACCTGGCTGTCTGCTTCCCTATTCACACTCACATCTCCCCAGAGGTCCCTGAAATGCCCTGACTGTCACTGCTTACCCAAGCATGGAACAAAGCATATACCTGCCAGTTATAAGACCAGTGGGGAATGGGAGAGATAAGTGTTGATGTTAAGATAAAATGTTACCGCTTACACTTAGATCCTAGAAGTAAATAAAGTTCAATAACTTAGCTGTGGGGTTACTTTATTTACATTATGAGTATCACACATAATGGCTCACAGAGCCATTACTTTCTAATAAGTATATAGAATGATTGATTATATAAAATCAGACCCCTAGTTTCTAAAGAATCGTGACTATAACTAGGCTCTAGGATGTCCCTGCTGTGACTGTTAAGCTACAAAGACAGAATTTAATGAATTCTCTAAGTGCCTCTGGACAGAGCACTGCCTCCAGGAACTGAAACCATGTGAGTTTTCACCACTCGGGGCCTGGCTCCCTCACAGCACCACCTATGCTCAGGCTTCCCTAAGCCAGCAAGGAGAGAAAAGCAGACCCTCAGCATAACTGTACAAACAAATGTTGGGGGAAGCTGAAAATTTGAGGAGTGGAGCTTAATTCTCACTGAAAACAACCCGCACATGTCTAAAGGTACCCATTCTTCCCAATCTCTGCTAAAACTGAGCTGCAAATGAGCAAGGGAACTAGTAGACAACTTTATAAGAACTTGCCACAGAAACAATCAGATTTTAGGTTGAATTTTATGCAGAATGCTCTCTGTACCCTTCTTTTTCCTTCCTTCTTCCCTCCCTCCTTTTCCTTCCTTTTTTTCTTCTTATATTTTCTTTTCTTTTGGATCTGGGAAATATCAGACTTAAATAAGAACCCAGAGACTGGTGTGCCCTTATTTTCTTTACAAAATAATAACACCCCACCTTTGTATCAATGCTAAGGACCCAGAAACTTTGCTTAAGACATCCACATGCTTATAAAACAGCCCAATCAATTTTATTTTATAACCCTAAAAGCCCTGGACTCTGGAAATTGCCATAGGGTGAGTCACTCAAGCCATTTAAAACACAGATATACATACATACATAGAACTAATACAAGCCATATCAAGAACTATACATAAATGAACAGAGAGATCCATTCACACTGACAACTTGGAATATGACATTTAAGCTCCTGCTTGGCAGTGTGGGAAAACTGGCAGTGTGTGTTTGCCAGGAAGGGAGAATGGGAGCATCTCCAAGCCAATTAATATCCTCTACAGTTTAAGAACACTATTTATTACTAAATTTTTATAGTAATTCATATTGGATCTTTTAAGTTTTAACTCACTAATACAACAAATACTATTTTGTAACAAATACTTAAGCATTAAATGTATATTGTTTCTCTATTGTTAGAAAACTAGACAAAGAATTAATCCCTCATCCTGCAGACAAATTCCAAAGATTAAATTCAGATAATATAAGAACATAGTAACAAATTAGCCTCATTTAGAACTTTCACACTGATGGTTTTGACAGTCCATTTACATTTGAGATGAACA